AAGGTAGAGGAAGAACAAACAAAACAATATTGAGTGTTTACTTGGCGTACCAAGTTTGGAGGCATGCTTAACCATTTGTTCAATTTTTGCAGATGGCAGGAGCGTCAATCGATCCATTCAGAAGGGCACAAGATCTTTAGTTACCACTTCTTACTCTAGAGGCTCAGGAGCGATTCACTGCATGGGCCCAACACATATCTTTACAGGCCCCAATGATTCTTGATCAAAGACTCCTAGTTGCAGCTAGGGTTTGTGCAGATGTTGAGGCCTCGATTAGACCATCTGGATGGGAGTGTTTGCTTTTGTTGCGAGCCGAGGTCAGCTTGCCTCTCGATCACTATTGAGTTTTTGTGCTCTTTGCGACCTTTGTTGGGATTCGAGCAGCGAGAGGACATGGGGATACCTACGAGGCACGACATCCGTGCTGGGCCTTTATACTCAGGAGGAGATCTGCCATTCATCCTTTGCTGACCTTCCCATTGTTGTTCCCGAAGACTTCGACATCCAGGCCTTCTGGACCCACACACATGCACTGATGCCCCTTTCAAGCATTAGATTAGTTGAGCCTCTGAGTGGGCCAAGCCTTCCTAGACGCTTCTTACCTTCTTGATGTCCATGAGCTACTTTGGGAAACCCAGTAACAGCAACGAGTTCTATTCTTCTAGCATGCTTTTCTTCTAGAGCATATCACATCAGCGTCGGGTTAATATGGCTATTTTCTTCGCTCGTTTCTTGTGGTCCTAGACATATGGTCCGCGTATCAAGGTGGTTTGTGGCCCGTTGATCATGCTTCTTCACAGATCCCTACAGCAGCACTTGTCGATTCCTGACCTCTTATTGCTTGAGTAGAGTTTCCGACTTCTAGACAGCACCATGATACAACACATTAGAATTCAAAGAGGTCAGATATAGAGGGTAGAGCTCGACTAGGGTAGCCTTCACATACTCCTATGGGCACAGACATTGAGTACTCAGATGGAGGGCCTTCAGTTTCAGATGAGTGGGATTCATGGTAGGCTGGTAGAGTTGCACACGAGGTTCACCAATTTTGAGCACCGCTAAGAGGCAGACATGACTAGGCTTGTCGACCAGCATGAGGCCCAGTGGACTAACTTCTTCAATATCACTACTCTTATTCAGACACCAGTTGAGCAGCCGTCGACTGGGCATACCTCGATTCCTGATACATCGGATGTTGCACCGACGCACCTAATCCACCCTTGATTTTGATCTTCTGATTATTTTATCATACATTTACTTGCTTTTTCTTATGATTTGACCAGGTTCTTGGATGCTGGATTTTGTTTGGAACAATCATTTTATGAACAACTTTGTGGAGAACATTTTGGGGAAGTTTACCGTGCGATATGTCCTTTTCCCCATAATTTTTTTCCTTGATTTATTTATGTTTCAATCTTTGTTTTGAATCCTTTAAGTACTAGAATAATTTAGTATGTGCATTTGAGTTTTTCCACTATAACTCTAGTTTCTAATCACTTTAAAACCCGTGAGGGCGCGATTCTCCTTAAGTGTGAGGATGATAGAGTTATGGTTGAAGCACTCTTTAGGAAGTTTAGTAAATCTTTATATTTATAGGAAAATTATATAAACAGTCATCTGCTTTAGTTTTTTAGGAAAAATATTTTTACCATAAAATAGAAAATTTTAAATTTTTTGTCAAGCTTAGATTTTTGTACAAATTTTTGAAAATTTTTGGTATGAATTGACGTATTTAGGTCTAAATTAGTATATTAATATCTTGTTCTCTAATTTTTCAATAAACATTTTTTCTACACAAAAATATTTTGTTAGGTCAAATAAATTTTAATTATTTTATTAGAAATCTTTTTAGATACTGCTCCGCTATTTTTTTAATATGAGCACTTATTGTTTCTTTAAAAGTTCTATTTCAATAAAAAAATGAGACACTTTGGTGAGACCAAATTCTCGAGTGAAAAATTTAAGTAAAAAAGCATCTAGTTCTATGTCAGATGATGAGACTTATTTTTAGGTGAGTGCCAAAAGCATGTGGTTATATGTTGCGTGATGAGGTTTTTAAGAGAAAGTGATATCCCAAAAGCTTGTGATTGTATGTCACGGGATGAAGATGAAAATTTTTTGTTCTCGTGTCAACATAACAAAGTGATGTTATTCAAAAAAAATCATAATAGTAACTTTTTCAAGAAACAAATTTTTAATTCAATCATTAAAGATTCTTTGACCTTGGAAAATTTAAGAGTAATAGGAAATTTTGTTATTTTAAATTTAGAGAACATCGATTTTAGTCTTACTAATATTCTTTAATTTCAATCATGGAAACCTGGGTTGATTAAATTTGAACAAAATTATAGATTTGAATACATGTCAATCCGTGTGAATACGACACGGAAATAAATTGAACTCTTTTATAGGGATATTTACTACCACTAAAACTCTTTTGTCGCTTAGCGCTAGACTCGGATTTAATTGACAGCTGCAAAAATTGAAATGCAAGGACGCATATACCCTGGCGATAAAAGTATGGGAGAAAAACCAAAATAGCACTCTTAGAGCCTTAAAATACTCTAAATAGCAGTGTCATATGTTTCATACCTGTGGTTCCAATTTTGTCCTTTAATTAAACAACAAATATTCATTACACCCTGCCAAACAATATGACTGTTTTGGGCAGTGTGATTGTTCACTTGTAAATGTGCAGTGGGCAGTATGATTTTTTATATGTGGGTATTTAATGCGGCAATGTAGAATAGATATATGTTGTTATATCTTATGGCAGAGTGAGTGTATTATTCTGTTCCTTAATTTCATGTTGGAGTGTAATGTCTATTGATTTATGTGATAGTGTTTTCTTGTATAAATTCTACCCTATCAAAAAGTGTATGATTGTTTTCATGTATGAATTCCACACTACCCAAAAAATATATAGCTCTTTTTAGGTATGACTTCCACATTATTTTCATCTATGAATTCCACACTGCCAAAAATGTGTATGACTGATTTCATGAATAATCTATTACACCAAAACACGCTGGTCAAACATGGGCGTTAAATATGGAGCTTAGTTTAATACGTACGAACTAGCCTTGTTTAGGAATTATACATTGGTAAACTGTGTAGGAGGATAATATCGCAAAGCTATGGTAAACGGCGTATGATGATATACTCACACGTATGAGATGCACGAAAAAGGAGAAGTGGCACGTATGAGGAGGAGTGACTACGTGAATAACCTAAGTTCAATATATATAATAAAAGTTGAGGGTATGTTTGAAAGATATTGACACTATAAATAGCTAAATTCGTATTAAAGATTAAGGAGTGCTATATGCGTAATATTGAGTGACTTAGAGTGCTACGTAGGGTGATTTCTTAAGGTCAAAATATAGTTATGACCTCTTCCTTTGATTTTAATTTTTTTAAATCAAAGTTTGAAAAAATAATTGTGAGCTTTGTAGTTGGTGTGGGTGAGCTTTGTAGTTGGTGTGGGTAAACTTTATACTCCCTCCGTCCGGAAATATTCTTCCATTTTCCTTTTTGGTCCGTCCGGAAATATTCTTCCAATTTCCATTTTTAGTATACTTTTTAAGGCTAAATATCAATAATACCTTACTATTTTATCACAAATCTACTTTTTTAGTACTTTTTTAATAATAAAAGGATATTTAAAAGTTTATAGTATGTTTATTTTTGAAAATTTTACATTTTTTTTACTATTCCTTAATAAGCGTGCCAAGTCAACACGGGAAGAACATTTCCGGACAGAGGGAGTAGTTGGCAGTGGTGAGATTTGTGTCATCTCATTGTAGCATGTGAACACTATAAGGTGTCATCTGACTAGAGTCGATCACACACACACACACACATATATATATGTGTGTGTGTGTGTGTATATATATATACACACACCCTGGTTTCCCAGTGTATTTGTCTAGTTTGACTTTTTCGAGTCAAACTAGACAAACTTTAAACTTCAATTACTCTCAATTTATATTCCATATTAGCATAATGAAATATCATTTTAAAAATTTTCAATACGATAAATCCAATAGAGTTATTTATTTTAAAATATACTCCGTATTACAATTTTTATTTAATTGAAGACCAAAGTTTGTTCAGTTTGACTCGAAAAAGTCAAACTGGACAAGGAGAACGTATATCATGTTAGACGCCTCGCACACCTCTAGAGGGGGGGTGAATAGAGGTGTTGCCCAAAAGACCAATTTTTTTGCACGGAAACATTCTTCACGAATATTCAATAATAACAATACACCACAAACAAAATAAAGTGAAGGATAAGTGAAAGGTAACCATGCAAGGATAGGCAGCGGAATATAAAATTTTAACATCCTAACATGATTATCTTGCCCAGAATCACGTACTAAAACTTATAGCGAGTAAGAAATTTATACCTTTCTCCGTAAGCGGTAAACAAGAAGAAGTCGTAGGAAGAGCGTTGAAAGTGCAAACGTAACCGTTCAAGCGTCCGGTCTCTAACTTTGACACACGAACAACGCCGGAGTCTACCACAATCTTTATGCTAGTAAAGATTATAGTAGTATAAAATATAAAGATTAAAATTGGGATAATAATAATCTTGTATATTTCTTATAGAAAATATTTCTAATAATATTTAGAAAATATTATAGATATTTTCTATACACAAAATGATATTAATGGAACCAAACTAATATTTCTCTCTCTAGAAAAATTATGGCCGAAAACCACACTCATATGCAAAGATGATAATCTTCTCATATATCAATTTTTTCTAAAGTGCCGTGCAAGCAATACAAAGAAAAAAAAATCCAAAGTGATTATGAATTTGACTTTGTCATTAACAAAATGACAAAATAGTTAGCTCCACTCAATTATCAGTCAAGGAAATTTTTTGTTCCTTTAAAAGATATCATGGCCGAACAATTGATTTGAAAAAGTGAGAAGGATTCTTGAAATTCTTCTCCACTTANTATATATATGTACCGATTAATGTATATATATTATATGTTGAATATTTTATTTTGGTTTGTCATTTTTATAATTATTTTGACATAAACTATTTAAAGTATATTTGTATACTTGTTTAAAAATGATATTGGTATTTTTATTTGATTTAAAATTAATTTTATATTAATTTTTGGTGTCAAATAAAATACACTTTGAACATTTAAGTGGAGAAGAATTTCAAGAATCCTTCTCACTTTTTCAAATCAATTGTTCGGCCATGATATCTTTTAAAGGAACAAAAAATTTCCTTGACTGATAATTGAGTGGAGCTAACTATTTTGTCATTTTGTTAATGACAAAGTCAAATTCATAATCACTTTGGATTTTTTTTTCTTTGTATTGCTTGCACGGCACTTTAGAAAAAATTGATATATGAGAAGATTATCATCTTTGCATATGAGTGTGGTTTTCGGCCATAATTTTTCTAGAGAGAGAAATATTAGTTTGGTTCCATTAATATCATTTTGTGTATAGAAAATATCTATAATATTTTCTAAATATTATTAGAAATATTTTCTATAAGAAATATACAAGATTATTATTATCCCAATTTTAATCTTTATATTTTATACTACTATAATCTTTACTAGCATAAAGATTGTGGTAGACTCCGGCGTTGTTCGTGTGTCAAAGTTAGAGACCGGACGCTTGAACGGTTACGTTTGCACTTTCAACGCTCTTCCTACGACTTCTTCTTGTTTACCGCTTACGGAGAAAGGTATAAATTTCTTACTCGCTATAAGTTTTAGTACGTGATTCTGGGCAAGATAATCATGTTAGGATGTTAAAATTTTATATTCCGCTGCCTATCCTTGCATGGTTACCTTTCACTTATCCTTCACTTTATTTTGTTTGTGGTGTATTGTTATTATTGAATATTCGTGAAGAATGTTTCCGTGCAAAAAAATTGGTCTTTTGGGCAACACCTCTATTCACCCCCCCTCTAGAGGTGTGCGAGGCGTCTAACATGATATACGTTCTCCTTGTCCAGTTTGACTTTTTCGAGTCAAACTGAACAAACTTTGGTCTTCAATTAAATAAAAATTGTAATACGGAGTATATTTTAAAATAAATAACTCTATTGGATTTATCGTATTGAAAATTTTTAAAATGATATTTCATTATGCTAATATGGAATATAAATTGAGAGTAATTGAAGTTTAAAGTTTGTCTAGTTTGACTCGAAAAAGTCAAACTAGACAAATACACTGGGAAACCAGGGTGTGTGTATATATATATACACACACACACACACATATATATATGTGTGTGTGTGTGTGTGATCGACTCTAGTCAGATGACACCTTATAGTGTTCACATGCTACAATGAGATGACACAAATCTCACCACTGCCAACTACTCCCTCTGTCCGGAAATGTTCTTCCCGTGTTGACTTGGCACGCTTATTAAGGAATAGTAAAAAAAATGTAAAATTTTCAAAAATAAACATACTATAAACTTTTAAATATCCTTTTATTATTAAAAAAGTACTAAAAAAGTAGATTTGTGATAAAATAGTAAGGTATTATTGATATTTAGCCTTAAAAAGTATACTAAAAATGGAAATTGGAAGAATATTTCCGGACGGACCAAAAAGGAAAATGGAAGAATATTTCCGGACGGAGGGAGTATAAAGTTTACCCACACCAACTACAAAGCTCACCCACACCAACTACAAAGCTCACAATTATTTTTTCAAACTTTGATTTAAAAAAATTAAAATCAAAGGAAGAGGTCATAACTATATTTTGACCTTAAGAAATCACCCTACGTAGCACTCTAAGTCACTCAATATTACGCATATAGCACTCCTTAATCTTTAATACGAATTTAGCTATTTATAGTGTCAATATCTTTCAAACATACCCTCAACTTTTATTATATATATTGAACTTAGGTTATTCACGTAGTCACTCCTCCTCATACGTGCCACTTCTCCTTTTTCGTGCATCTCATACGTGTGAGTATATCATCATACGCCGTTTACCATAGCTTTGCGATATTATCCTCCTACACAGTTTACCAATGTATAATTCCTAAACAAGGCTAGTTCGTACGTATTAAACTAAGCTCCATATTTAACGCCCATGTTTGACCAGCGTGTTTTGGTGTAATAGATTATTCATGAAATCAGTCATACACATTTTTGGCAGTGTGGAATTCATAGATGAAAATAATGTGGAAGTCATACCTAAAAAGAGCTATATATTTTTTGGGTAGTGTGGAATTCATACATGAAAACAATCATACACTTTTTGATAGGGTAGAATTTATACAAGAAAACACTATCACATAAATCAATAGACATTACACTCCAACATGAAATTAAGGAACAGAATAATACACTCACTCTGCCATAAGATATAACAACATATATCTATTCTACATTGCCGCATTAAATACCCACATATAAAAAATCATACTGCCCACTGCACATTTACAAGTGAACAATCACACTGCCCAAAACAGTCATATTGTTTGGCAGGGTGTAATGAATATTTGTTGTTTAATTAAAGGACAAAATTGGAACCACAGGTATGAAACATATGACACTGCTATTTAGAGTATTTTAAGGCTCTAAGAGTGCTATTTTGGTTTTTCTCCCATACTTTTATCGCCAGGGTATATGCGTCCTTGCATTTCAATTTTTGCAGCTGTCAATTAAATCCGAGTCTAGCGCTAAGCGACAAAAGAGTTTTAGTGGTAGTAAATATCCCTATAAAAGAGTTCAATTTATTTCCGTGTCGTATTCACACGGATTGACATGTATTCAAATCTATAATTTTGTTCAAATTTAATCAACCCAGGTTTCCATGATTGAAATTAAAGAATATTAGTAAGACTAAAATCGATGTTCTCTAAATTTAAAATAACAAAATTTCCTATTACTCTTAAATTTTCCAAGGTCAAAGAATCTTTAATGATTGAATTAAAAATTTGTTTCTTGAAAAAGTTACTATTATGATTTTTTTTGAATAACATCACTTTGTTATGTTGACACGAGAACAAAAAATTTTCATCTTCATCCCGTGACATACAATCACAAGCTTTTGGGATATCACTTTCTCTTAAAAACCTCATCACGCAACATATAACCACATGCTTTTGGCACTCACCTAAAAATAAGTCTCATCATCTGACATAGAACTAGATGCTTTTTTACTTAAATTTTTCACTCGAGAATTTGGTCTCACCAAAGTGTCTCATTTTTTTATTGAAATAGAACTTTTAAAGAAACAATAAGTGCTCATATTAAAAAAATAGCGGAGCAGTATCTAAAAAGATTTCTAATAAAATAATTAAAATTTATTTGACCTAACAAAATATTTTTGTGTAGAAAAAATGTTTATTGAAAAATTAGAGAACAAGATATTAATATACTAATTTAGACCTAAATACGTCAATTCATACCAAAAATTTTCAAAAATTTGTACAAAAATCTAAGCTTGACAAAAAATTTAAAATTTTCTATTTTATGGTAAAAATATTTTTCCTAAAAAACTAAAGCAGATGACTGTTTATATAATTTTCCTATAAATATAAAGATTTACTAAACTTCCTAAAGAGTGCTTCAACCATAACTCTATCATCCTCACACTTAAGGAGAATCGCGCCCTCACGGGTTTTAAAGTGATTAGAAACTAGAGTTATAGTGGAAAAACTCAAATGCACATACTAAATTATTCTAGTACTTAAAGGATTCAAAACAAAGATTGAAACATAAATAAATCAAGGAAAAAAATTATGGGGAAAAGGACATATCGCACGGTAAACTTCCCCAAAATGTTCTCCACAAAGTTGTTCATAAAATGATTGTTCCAAACAAAATCCAGCATCCAAGAACCTGGTCAAATCATAAGAAAAAGCAAGTAAATGTATGATAAAATAATCAGAAGATCAAAATCAAGGGTGGATTAGGTGCGTCGGTGCAACATCCGATGTATCAGGAATCGAGGTATGCCCAGTCGACGGCTGCTCAACTGGTGTCTGAATAAGAGTAGTGATATTGAAGAAGTTAGTCCACTGGGCCTCATGCTGGTCGACAAGCCTAGTCATGTCTGCCTCTTAGCGGTGCTCAAAATTGGTGAACCTCGTGTGCAACTCTACCAGCCTACCATGAATCCCACTCATCTGAAACTGAAGGCCCTCCATCTGAGTACTCAATGTCTGTGCCCATAGGAGTATGTGAAGGCTACCCTAGTCGAGCTCTACCCTCTATATCTGACCTCTTTGAATTCTAATGTGTTGTATCATGGTGCTGTCTAGAAGTCGGAAACTCTACTCAAGCAATAAGAGGTCAGGAATCGACAAGTGCTGCTGTAGGGATCTGTGAAGAAGCATGATCAACGGGCCACAAACCACCTTGATACGCGGACCATATGTCTAGGACCACAAGAAACGAGCGAAGAAAATAGCCATATTAACCCGACGCTGATGTGATATGCTCTAGAAGAAAAGCATGCTAGAAGAATAGAACTCGTTGCTGTTACTGGGTTTCCCAAAGTAGCTCATGGACATCAAGAAGGTAAGAAGCGTCTAGGAAGGCTTGGCCCACTCAGAGGCTCAACTAATCTAATGCTTGAAAGGGGCATCAGTGCATGTGTGTGGGTCCAGAAGGCCTGGATGTCGAAGTCTTCGGGAACAACAATGGGAAGGTCAGCAAAGGATGAATGGCAGATCTCCTCCTGAGTATAAAGGCCCAGCACGGATGTCGTGCCTCGTAGGTATCCCCATGTCCTCTCGCTGCTCGAATCCCAACAAAGGTCGCAAAGAGCACAAAAACTCAATAGTGATCGAGAGGCAAGCTGACCTCGGCTCGCAACAAAAGCAAACACTCCCATCCAGATGGTCTAATCGAGGCCTCAACATCTGCACAAACCCTAGCTGCAACTAGGAGTCTTTGATCAAGAATCATTGGGGCCTGTAAAGATATGTGTTGGGCCCATGCAGTGAATCGCTCCTGAGCCTCTAGAGTAAGAAGTGGTAACTAAAGATCTTGTGCCCTTCTGAATGGATCGATTGACGCTCCTGCCATCTGCAAAAATTGAACAAATGGTTAAGCATGCCTCCAAACTTGGTACGCCAAGTAAACACTCAATATTGTTTTGTTTGTTCTTCCTCTACCTTTTTTACACATCCTTTAAGTATAGATATATCAAAAGTGGTAGCTAGATCGATTCAAAGTATTCAATATTGGGCAGAATGCTGCCAATTAGGTGCTCTTAGGCTCACCCGAATAAACCTTTCCACAGGATGACCGAGTAGGAATATTGGGACAAGTTCAGGTCCCAAAGGCGTCACCCTTTGTGTCCACTTAAGTACCATTCCAACTTAGACAATCATTTTGTACGCGGTATAGATATCACTTTTAACACATAAATATAAAAAGGTCTCTCTCCCTTTTTTGAATGATAATGATGACGTGTTGCCTCCCGTTCAGAACTTATTTAACGTCATTAGTAAGACACTTTTCTCCTTCTTCAATCCTCCAAGGCTTGGACGTACATTGCGGTTTTCTCTCGAGACACATCCCCTCCTTCAAACTTCTTCAGACGATGACCGTTGACTTTGAATTTGTCATTCCTCCCTCGAATTTTTATCATTCCATATGGATAGACCTTTACAACTTCAAATGGACCAAACCAATGAGACTTCAGTTTCTGGGGAAACAACCTCAACCGAGAATTAAACAGAAGTACTTGGTCCCCTTCATGGAAC